CCCATCCAGTTCCGGTCAGGTGCAGAGGTACAAAGACAAAGGGTGACCTTGGCTTTCTAGAAAGAATTTTGTTATGGCTACATAGCATCTCACTCTGTACAATTTCCCCTCCCATTTTCCCACAATAGAAAATGTATAGTAGAATAATAGAAAGTGTGGCAGGCCAAAGACATCTCCCCCCCCAAAAAAAGATGGCTGCAGGCCTGGCAGGAGCATCCAATATTACTTGCGCAGCCAAGGTGTTATATATGCGCAATCCTTGGTGTACCCAAGATTGGCCAGATTGCTTTTGTAACAGCTGAAGCTTCTGGTTACTTTTCCAAGGGTAAATTAGAACAGCTTAGTTTAAACAGAAACAATTTTCTATTTATGGAAAGACAGACTTTTATTAAGTTCTGGAGCAAACAGGCTTGTATAAATATACATACACACACGTTTTAGTGTGTTTCCTCTAACCTTTGGTTGCTGGATTGTAGTAAAAACAGAATTGATCCCACATGTTTTGAGTCACGCACCCAGCATAAGAAAAGGGCTCCATAACTATTTCCCAAACAGTAATGATTCAAGCATTAAGAGTCAATATTTACAAAGAAAACAAACTAAATTTAAATAATGTTGTATTTTCTCTGATTGATGCTTATATTATTAGCAACTTCCCTTACGAGCCCTGCATCCAAATAATGATTAAAATGTTTCCTTCTTTAAAAAAAAGGTCCAAAAGTGAAAATCATATTCTGCATTAACTTCCTTGGATAGGTGGAAATTGATTACCTAACAACGTTCATTGAAAAAGTCAAAATGATATTCAATTTTCTCTTAGACCAATACTGCTAGGTTGTAAGCAGCCCAGAGTCTTAGTGGCTAGATGAGCAGCAAGCAAATGTAATAAATAAATAAATGTGTCTTTATTTTGGTAATCAAAAAACAATGTATGAAATGCATCCATAAGTATATATTTGCCTCAGTGGTGGGATTCAGCCAGTTCGCACCTATTCAGGAGAACCAGATGTTAACTTTCTAAGCAGTTCAGGGAACCGGTTGTTGGAAGAAATCTCATTTTGTTTTTTCCCACTTTACATGGCTAATCCTGTAAGGAAGGCAGGAAGGAAACATTCTGGTGTTGTTTCTAGCCTAATCTTTCTTGCCCTGCTTACAGAAACAGCCTCTCCGGTTAACCCTTATTACATTGTAACAGCTAAGGTGAAGCACCCATGGACATGAGTTAGGTTGAGTTGACCACACCACCCAGCCACATGGCCACTGAGCCACNTCCTTTGAAAGACTTTGCTGTATGTGAATGAGCAGAATTCATGGTAAATTAATAAAAGGGGGTTTTGTCGGGACAAGGAATTTGCTTTATGCTTTTGGGAAGTCTACGTCAGAACAGCAGTAAAGACATGATACGTATTTTCCAAAAGACAAAAATGCATTGTCCTGCTTACTCAAAGAAATTGAGAAAGATCTAAAGGATAACAATATAAGATTCTAAACATTTAATCAACAATCACAGATTAACAGATGGTTTCAAAATGGGCATGCTAATGTCTATGGTTAAACTGTGATTCTGGTCAATTAGGGAAAAATGCAAACTATGGTTTTCTGAGTCCAGCGGTTTGGCTCAGCTGAATTCAAGAAAACAACCAGCCGTGTCAAAACGTACCATGCAAATTATAATAATTTATCATGAATCCAAGGAAAAATCAATGTGAAAATAGCATGAAAATTTAGCTTCACCCCTTCAAATGTGGGCTTAATTCTTATTAGGATCTATAGAGATTCTCAATCATCCAGGTCATGGATGTCCCAAAGTTGCTTTTCAAAAGATAATTTTCTTAATCCAGCTGTCTTTTGAAAAGCACCTGTTGGGACTCTTCTAAGGATCTTGGTGGAAAGAATGTGCCTTCTTCTCCCGGCATTTGTTCACCTCAAGTTTTCCTTACCAGAATAAAGTCTGTCTGATAGGTGGAGAGCATAAACACTGAGATATTCTGATTGGCTAGTGGAGCTATGACTGATTTGGCAATTTTGGTCACACCGATAGGCTGAGAGCCGGAGAAGCCACCTCCTCCCGAGACGACGTTGAGGGCCAGCCATGTTGCATCGGCTACACTCAAATGTTCTGATGAAGGGAGCTCTGAAACAGAAGGGTGAAAAAGCACAGAAAAACAATTTTATTTATTGCCTTTTAAGGAGAAGAACATAAGCACTGCCCTGTTGGATTGGACCTCTTGGCCCACCTATAACCACCTACTGCTATTTATGCTGCTGAGAGCCAATTTGGTTTAGCGTTTAAGGCACTAGGCTAGAAGCCAGGAGACTGAGAGTTCTAGTCCCGCCTTAGGCATGAAAGCCACCTGCATGACTTTGGGCCAATCACAAGGAGACTGAGAGTTCTACTCCCTCCTTAGGCATGAAAGCCACCTGCATGACTTTGGGCCAATCACCAGGAGACAGAGAGTTCTAGTCCCACCTTAGGCATGAAAGCCACCTGCATGACTTTGGGCCAATCACAAGGAGACTGAGAGTTCTACTCCCTCCTTAGGCATGAAAGCCACCTGCATGACTTTGGGCCAATCACAAGGAGACTGAGAGTTCTAGTCCCACCTTAGGCATGAAAGCCAGCTGGGTGACTTGGGGCTAATCACCAGGAGACAGTGAGTTCCGGTTCCACTGGGTGAATTTGGGCCAGACAATCAATCTCAACCCAGCTCATGTCATAGGGTTGTTATTGTGGAGAAAGGAGGAAGAGGAAGGAATATTATTATAAAAATAATAAATGCAGGATAAAAATCTAATAAATAGATAAATGTTGGAATTCTTTAACTGACAGAGTCCACTTGCATACCCTTCCTACCTGACTGACNATACCAATGTCTTGGCTAAATTCTTTTGTGCTTTCAATTAATAAATTCAGTTCAACTTTTGTTTTACCAAATAGCTTCGCATCATCCATGTACACCAAGTGCGAAATTTTCAGTCCTTTCTTTGCAAGTTCGTTGTTGTTGTTGTTGTTGTTGTTGTTTACAGTTCCTTGATAGTTAATAGATGATAACATGGTGCTTTCTTCCTCCATTCCTAAATTGTGCATTGTAGGTGAGCTGTTTTTCCTTCCTTCCCTCCCTCCCTTTCTTCCTTCCTCTACTTTTTCTTCCGTCTTCTGTCTTGTCATTCCTCCCTACTTCTTTCTTTCCTTTCTTCCTTCCTTCTTTTTGTTCTTTCTTCCCTCCTGCTTTTCCTTCCTTCCTATTTCTTCCCATCTCCCTCCCTCTCTTTCCCTTCCGCCATCCCTCTGTCTTTCCATCCTACCTTCCTTTCTTCTTTCCTCCTGCTTTTCCTTCCTTCCTTCCTTTTGTTGTTGTTCTTAGTTGAGAAGTCGTGCCCCAGTCCGACCCATCGCGACCCCATGGACAACGTTCCTCCAGGCCTTCCTGTCCTCTACCATTGTCTGGAGACCATTTAAGCTCATGCTGACTGCTTTGGTGACTCCATCCAGCCACCTCATTCTCTGTCATCCCATTCTTCTTTTGCCCTCTATCTTTCCCAGCATCCGGCTCGTCTTCCTTCCTATTTCTTCCAATCTCCCTCCCTGTCTTTCCCTCCCACCCCTCCCTTCCTCCCTCACTCCTTCCTTCCCACTTTTCCTTCTTTCCTTTTTCTTCCCATCTCACTTTTTCTCTTCCCTCCCTCCCTCCATCACTCTATTTTCATCCTTACTCCTTCCTTCCCACTTTTCCTTCTTTCCTTTTTCTTCTCTCCCCATCTCACTCTCTCTCTTCCCTCCCTCTATCACTCTATTTCCATCCTTTCTTCTTTCTTTCCTTTTCCTTCTTTCCTATTTCTTCCCATCTCCCTCTTTCCTTCCCCCCTCCCTTTCTTTCTCTCCCTTCCTCTTTTCAACACTCCTTCTCACTTTTCCTTTTTTCCTTCCTCATTCTTTTCCTTCCTTCCTTCCTTCCGTCCTTCCTTCCTTCCTTCCTTCCGTCCGTCCGTCCGTCCGTCCGTCATGACTTACAAGCTAAGAAAATATAAAAACAAAGAGATAGATCAGGGGTGTCAAACTGGATTTCTTCAAGGGCCAAATCAGCATTGCAGTTCTCCTCCGTGGACTGGGGGGGGGGGCAGCAGGGAGCAGGGGGGAATGGGACGGACGCCTCCTGCAGCACTTTATACCAGCCAAAATGGGGCATGGGGGCCCCCCTGCACCTTGTTTTTGCCCCCCATGGGCTCCTGTAGTACTCTGCCTTTTCTTTTTTTGG